AAAAGCTGACTGGTGGGGAAAAAAAAAAGCTTAACTGAAAAACTGTTGAACATCTCAGTTTCTCCAGGTGTGAAAGTGTACATTGACCCTTTCACCTACGAGGACCCCAATGACGCCATCCACGAGTTTGCGAAGGAAATCGACATTTCCTGCATAAAGATTGAAGAAGTCATCGGTGCAGGTGAATAGCTCTGCTGCCTTTGTCCGAAAGGGACGACCAAACGAGTCGCGTTCATGAATGATTTATCTGAACAGGAATGTGCCATCAAGCCCTCAGGTTTGTTCTGTGTGATGGGCTTGAAGGCAGAAAAAAAAGGACTTTGGATTCTGTGCGTGCATTGCGGGGACATATGCGGGTGGGAAGGGGCGGATTGAGGTGAAAATCCCTCTCAACCTGTTTTTGTTTCTCTCCGGCAGCATGTTCGATCCTTATTTCACCTCTGAATGACAGTGTGATCGACTATTATTCCTTCCTGTTTTTTTTATTTTTCTTCTCCTTGTCTCTGTTTTTTTTTTTTGTCAATGTTTGGACTCAGGCACCACAAGCACAACACCCAAATTCCTCACCCGTCCACGTTGTCCGTACACCACTCCCAGACTGCACACTCGATCACGACCAGTCACCCCTTCGCTCCCTGACATCTTTACCCTTTGACCACTTGCCTGAGTTGCCTCTCCCATTTTGCGGTGGCGGGGCGGCCCATGCATTTGGTACCTGGGCCTTTAATTTTGTCACATCAAACTATAAAACAAACAAAGAAGACAGAAAGGGCCTTTAATGGTAAAATAATCATTTACAGATATACAACTATGACACGCACTGTGAGTGCTGAGTGACCGCGTGATTCAACATCAGTGGCTTTTTACATGGTGTTCGCTATTCACTCCACAAACTGCGTCATTTTTTCTTATGATAACCCACACTTTCTACCAATTACCACGGTACTATATATATATATATATATATATATATACACACAATATACACTGCTCGGTATAATTATTGGCACCCCAGGTTAAGATGTGCTCTTTAGCTTGGAATAAATACATGACAAAAATGGAAAAAAGGAAGAGGAAAATCCAACCTTTAATTCAAATGCATTTATTCAATGGGAAAAAAAAATCCAACATTCAGAAATAATTCTTTTTCATCAAATCATGTGTGCTGCAATTAGTAGCACCCCGTGATGGTAATACTTTAAACAAGCTTCTTTGGCCAACAAAAAAAGAAAAAAAAACACCTTATCTACTTCTATCATGTTTGACAAGATGGGAGAACACACCATTCCCCTTTACACAATCTTACAGGTTCATCCAGCAACCAGGGTCCTCTCCTCTTTGGCTCACTCTACAGGTTTTCAATGGGGTTGAGGTCTGGGGACTGAGATTGCCAAGGGACCAGCTTCATTTTATGTGGGGTGGACCATTTCTACAATTTTCAGCATGAGAGTATGCTTCTGCAATAAAAATGGAATTTATTTTAAGGCTTAAAGCAACCAGTGGGGCCGCTAATTAGAGAGGGCACAGTATTTATGTCATAATCAAGAACTGTCCAGAGCCCAAATAATGAGACCTGGAAATGTAAGTCATGTACGTGGATGGCCGCAAATGTATGGAATCGATCACACGGACATCTGGAATGTTTTGAGTTTTGACACAACCAGTGGCTTGATTTCTCAAAGGTTGTAATTAGAAATACCGTATCAAGAAATAGAATATGGGTATCATCACATAGATTTGAGAGTCCATTGGATGAGTCAATCCGTTCAAGAAGACTTCAATACAAAACACAAACCAGACTTGTTTTATGCCTCTCGCGCCTAAAAAAAGAATGAGGCCACACACTAGCCCCCGAATGCTCTTGTTTTTTTTTCAGATGAGCGGAATGTTTGATGAAGTCATCTGGGACTGAATGGCCAGCAGAAATCAATGATATTGACAAACACAATGACTGATGCGGCCTGTCTCTCTCTCTTGTGCTCCCCAGCTGCTGTCGTCCGTCCTCAGGATCCTGTCTCCACTCGCCAGCCCCAGAATTCCTTTCCCTCCCCATTGTCTGACTCCTCTTCCTATGCCCTCCTCTTCTTACAGCAGTCTCTCCTGACACTGAGACGTTTTTTTCTTCCCACCGTGAACTTTGGAACATCCAGCGCTGTACTGGAGTCATTTGAATGATTACGAGCATCGAAAAAGACTATATGAAGAATGTAATATAATCTAGAAAGTCCAGTGGATGCTGGGCTGTTTTTTTTTTTTTTTTTTTTTAAATGTTTCAGGATTTATTATTGTTGTTTTCTTCTTTGCTTGCATGTAAAATAAGAGGAGTCTGGTTTGAATATGTGAATGAATGCGTAAGTGTGTGTGATGTATGGTTTGCGTACTTGAGAAACACTAACCTTGTCCATTCACTGGCCACTGTGAAGCCTGTGAAAAAAAAAACAACAACAACATGCGTTTGCTTGCTAAAGAAAACCTGATGTACAACATGTTGCTCCTGTCTTTGTGAGCCGGACTCGAGAACAGTTTTCCCGGAAAGCAACCTGTTTGCGCTTTGGATACAGGATCACCGCCAAGTGTGACTAAAAGCCTCTGACTTCAGTTTGGACTCGTCAAGCTTGTGATGATAAAAAAATCTCTGGATATGAGAAGGCCCCATGCCAGTACACAACCATGGTTTATAGCAGGGGTCCCCAAACTTTTTTGCCCCACGGACCGGTTTATGTCAGACAATATTTTCAGGGACCGGCATTTAAGGTGTGGCGGAAATAATACAACAAAATAATATGGTATGAGCTGCATGAAAACTGTAGTGTTTTCGAAATATAATAATAAACACAAGGAGCGTCTAATCTGGCCGCAACACTCTGATCGCTATGGCAATGTTTAATGCCTTCCAAATACGATAGAATGCAAATTCAAAGTGCATGAAAATGACGACTCACCACAGCCCCGAGCTTGATTTTCTGCAACCAGACGGTCCCATCTTGGGGTAATAGGAGACAATGACACCTCAAGTGTGTGGTTTATGTCCAGTCTACTTCGTAATTTTGTTTTAGTCGCCATTGCTGCAGAAAAACCCCACCTCACACAGGTAGGATGTTGGAAATAGCAACAGTGCTATTGTGGCGATCTCAGAGTATTCAGACATAACTTTAATCCAGTTGTCTCGAACGTACTTTTAAGGCCGCCGTCATTTGCGATCTCCAGCAGTTTTTTTACTCATTTTGCGAGCTCCGGTGTTTGTTTTTAGCCTAATTGGTCGCGTTACAGAGAAGCGTGGCTTGACGTGTGTCAAGCGTGACACAGACGGATGTAACGGAGAATCCGGTAATTTTTCAAAATAAAACATCTTTCGTATTCCGAAATAAATAAAACGGAATTAAGGCAAGTTCTTTCTGTGCGGCCCGGTACCAAATGCCCTGTGGACCGGTACCGGTCTGCAGACCGGCGGTTGGGGACCCCTGATTTATAGGACAAGGTGACAAAGAAGGGAAGACTGCTATTTTTCAGTTTGGGTTCCAGAAT